GAGGATTGCTGTTTCGGCTGATTCTTTGTCTTTTTCTTTTGTTTGTTGTAGATTTTTCATTAAAGAAGCATCAATAAAGTAATTTCAAAACACTGTTTATTGGAAAACTGAAGCGATGCATTCTGGGCACATTACGGACTGACGAGAAATGAAAGCACGGGGAACAGAAAACTAGTTTTTTTCCCTTCAAAATAAGAGCTTGAATTTTAAAGTTTTTCATGTTTCCATTGGATTTTAAAGTTTCCCAGTTCACCTGAAACTCATCAGACTAAAGAAATCTCTTGGAGGAGAGACAAAACATTTCACTAAAGAAGAACCCAGAGGACCTACTTATTTTTTCTTTTTGATTTTTGAGATGCATCAGGACGTTTTCCATACAGCTGCAGCTGCTCCAGTTGACCACTAGATGTCAGTCTTCGTCAGCATAAGTCTATAACCCCTTGCTTTGACCAATTACGTTAAGTATTGAGCTCCAGCGTTTAAACTTTATTTTTATAAAAAGGGAGCTCCGATTGTAAAGTAAAATAAATCAGTACAAAATTTTAGTATGGATTACAAACGTTTACTGTTTTTGCTGGGAAAGGGAGCACTAAACATTGCCTTCCTGCTACGTAAGCAGACAAAGCATTYTGGGAAAAGACACKAAGCARTGGGGGAAATATCTGTAAAATGTGGATCCTTGCTGGCTARTGAATATTGTCTTTTGCACTGTGTTTATTATTATAYTTTAACAGAGGCCATATTAGTAATTTYGAACGCTGCCGRAAAAATACTTTYCAAAGCTGACCTACTAAAATYAGAACCGACTGAACCGTGACCCAAAGRGARAGTCAGGAAGGACGAATACCTTCCCAGTAATAAGCRYGGAGGGGAGCTGTTGGATGGATCARGTGKGTTGTGAGWCCTGACAGCAATTCCTTCCGCTGTTCAAGATAATGYTGACCAGTAGAAAATTAGTTATTAGCGGAACTMCAATTMAAATTTAAAAAGCGCAAATCCYCTTATGAATTATAAWAATTAGCAAGACCGCTAAAGCGCAAACAAAATGWTTAGGTCCGCAATTAGCGGATWTGCGCMTTAGCTGACTGGTGCCCACCACTGGCTCTCTAGTTACCATTGATGCCAGTATGTCCTGGTACCCATTTAACAGTAACACTTTTATCTCTCCTCTGTTGTTGACTGCTCCGGCACACTCCCAAGCCAGTAATGATGCAACGTGTGGCCCTTGGAGAGCTCTTAAAGCAGCTTGGCTTTCTGTTAGTATGAATGAAACTAGTAATTAGAAAAGTGGAAATAAAAAAAAGGAAGATAAAAAATGGCAGAAGTTATTTTTACTCTGTTTGAACCTCTTGGATGTACACTCTAAAAATGAAATGTTGGATTTACTTAACCATGTTATGTTCCCTGGTTCCACTTAACTGAGTTGAGTAAATTCAAAGCAACATACTCATGTTCTTTGGCTAAAAACTGGTATATTGCTTTGAATTTACTCAACTCAGTTAAGTGGAACCAGGGAACATAACATGGTTAAGTAAATCCAACATTTCATTTTTTACAGTGTAGTTTAACAGNTACTGAGAAAAATGGTGACGTGTTCAATATTTATTTTACCCGCTGTAATAACAAAAGTTCCTGAGMTTATACTAAAGTAAAAGTTGCTTAATATTTGGTGAAATATTTTATTTCAAACATTGAAATACTTTGCCATTTCTAAGACATGTTTATGGACAGCAGCAGTGGGAGTGTGTGGTTGGAATAATCACTTTTGTATGGACAAGAGAGAAATATTTTCCTGTGATCGTATCTGTCATATTAGAGCAAACTGCCTTTGGTCAGGTMAAAGTGATGTGGTGGAGAATTTTTATAAATGCCTGACTGAATCAGAGCATCCTGTGTTTCAGTCATGGAAATCAGATTTTAGCAGTGTTGACCAAGAAGAACTAATTGAGATTATTAGACCACAGCTGTAGAAGAATGCTCGCTGCCAGCAATGTCACTGAAATCSTCCAGGAACATGCACACAAAACATTTGTCCAGGAGCCTGCTTTTGTTTTTGATCAGGGACGAAAATACTCCGTGTCACTGCAAACAGCTTTCAGAACCTTGCTTCAGATCATGAAAACTTGCAACCAAACATAAGAAAGTTTTTGAAGTCTATTTTTCTCTTCTCAGGAAATGAATGTCCATCAGAAAGACATTCCAAAGTACTTAACCAGGTACATCAGGAATGCAGATTTGCAGTCCTTGTTTTTAAGATTCTGCACAGGTTCAGACGTGTTCTGAGAAGATGCGGCTCACACGTGGCTGTGTCCTTGAGCTGTCAGATTATTATCGCAGCTGTCAAGATTTCAGCGCTGAAATGAACAAAATTATGGAGTCTAACATGTGGGTCATGGACATCTTTTAAAGTTATGGGGATTTTTTTTTTTTTTTTTTTTTTTTTTCAACCAAGCAGCTATATGAATGCAAATGGAAAAAAAACAAGATTAAGGTGGCTCTTTAGTGAGATGTTTTTTGAGGATTTTTATTTTGATACACACTTTGACACACACTTGAAATGAATGGTCTGTCAGAAGAATTCTGTTCTGAGATCCRTTTTTGAACAGTAACATTTTGCACTTTTACTCGCACAAAAAATGTTACAAAAACATGATTTAAGTTTGTTTTATAGATTCAAACAAGGGGGTCAGAATTCTAATGATGTAAATTTATTAGCATTTGGGCTGTTTGATTCCACATCATTCACTGTTCTTGTAACAAACTTACGGTCTCTAAGTGAAGTAGAGCTAATGGCTTTTCACATATTGCTCTGAGTTGTGGTTKGAAGACAGAGCAATGCCTGTTTGTATACTATTGGTCTTCAAACTTATGAGAGCCTGTTGTAATTATTGTACTTGAGGTGTAAAAACCACGTCTTCTTGATGTTGCAAACCGCTGCTGCTCCTGATGAGAGAAACTCTGAAACAGGCTGGTTGAACAGCAAGAATCTTTATTTTGCAGTCCAGGAGATTTACAGCCAAAAANGAAAAGAGGCCCCCACTTTTAGACACTACATTCTCTTCAAAGCACTTTTATTCCACTTAATACGATGAGCGTTCCATGATTCCACCAGCAGACAATCAGGTTGGACACAAAGTCTGTCGTTCATGTCTATTTTCCTCTTGATCCACCAGTTGCAGAAAAGCTGTCTTCAGTGGATAGTTGTCACGATTGTTGACTTCAGGCCGAATTCATTCAGGATTCTGAATTAACAACATAGAAGTGTAATTAATTTGTTCTGGTGGACAAATGAAACATTTAGCCATCTTGGGTAAAATGTTCATTCAGAATTCCCAGTAAATCTATAAATTTACCTACTCAGCAGTCATTATGCACAATGACCGCTGAGCTAGTAAATCTATAATTTTACCATAAGGAGCACTTTCACCAATAAGACAATGACATAAAAATCACAATGCTCATTACGTAATTAGAATATAAAAGCTGAATTAAGTCCAGTGTGGTTACTGCTGCAGTTTATTGTAACCAAATTTGAGAAAGAACACTGTTCTAGGCCATGGTTAACTTTTATGTTTAATTACCTCAAAGTGTGGAAAACATATAGCAACAGCAATTTGTTGTGTGCATGCAGGAAAACAGTATGCTTCTGAAGGAAATATTAAATTAGTAATAATTAAACCAGACATATAAGTGTATTGCCAAAGCAAACAAATAAACTATACAACTGTGTATCCTGATGCATCTCAGTAATCCAGGTAGAAAAAAATCAAAAAGGTGTTAGCTGCTGGTTTGAGAGAGGAGTAAAGGAAGCCATCTTTGTGAAGAAAAACCGTCCACCATTAAACAGAGGTGGAGGCCTTCATGTCGAGTTGTCCCCCTCCTACAATGCTGTTATTGCAAGAATGACTCAGCCCTCTGTGAGCAAAAGGTGTGAATCAGGGCCCTAATGATACCAACACAAATAGGGAAAGAAAGACAAAAACAAGGGGACYTTGAACCCCCACTTGCATTCACTACATACACACAACACGACATGGGTCAGGTGATGGGGCACATGACCCTCTAGAACTAATTAAACCTATTGTTAGGCGATGGCCCTCTTTTGCATGTGACTAACCTGTTTGTCCATGTGGAGGCAGTGCTTATAAGGCTGAGTTCACCTGAAACTCATCAGACTGAAGAAGTCTCTTGGAGGAGAGACGAAACGTTTCACTAAAGAAGAACCCYTCCAGAGGACCTACTTATTATTTCTTTTTGATACAACTGTATACTTTTGGATGAAATTTGTAAATACTGTTCAGTTCTAAGTACTGTAAGTACTTAAAACTGTACTAAGTACAGTACAGTACTCTAAGTACTGTTGTGCTCAAATACTGCTCCTGATTTCATTTCTGTTTTAAGAAAAAAAAAAGAAACACAAATAATTAAAAAAATTGGTCATTCCTGTTTGACACTAAGAAAGAGAAACACTTTGTATATTACTTAATTTTTTGTATAAAAAAAGAGAACTAATTAAAAATAAATGAAACAGCTATCCGTTTGTTGTTGTTTTTTAAGAGGCCCTACCCGTTTCTGAAAGAAAAATCCAAAGACCAGAAGATAGCTACATGGGAGTTTAAACTAAGCTGATAAGAAAAATATGGGCAAGGCTTTGCATAATTTAAGGAAATGCAGTTTTTGATGGTGTTTAAATTGTTAAAAAAATTAATAAAAAAAGGAAAATGCAGAACTTTGTTACAGATTACAGCATAAAAAGCTGCGTTCACTGACCGCAAAAAACGTCGGTTTTTCCGATATCCATAATGTGATCTTAAAACGTTGTAAACAACGTCATTCTGACTAAAACGACATTTTTTTTTTTACGTGATTTACTAGCTAGACGCGTAGTAAAGGTGGCGGATTTGTGTCACTATTGGCTTTCCATACATTCAGGCCCAACATGACAACATCGACAGTGTCGAGCCGGGAGCAGAAAGCCCAGCAGCGGGCGAGGATGATGAAGCTTCGGCCGTGGGCAGCTTGGTTCCAGGGTCGGTATGCGGTGCTGCTCGCTCTGTGTGCTCTGTGTTTTAGCAACTCTCTCCACGGGGAGCTGGTCCACGACGACGTCTGGGCTATCGTCAACAACCCAGACGTACGACCAGGTTCCAGCCTGAGGAGCATTTTCACCAACGACTTCTGGGGCAAGAGAATGGCGGATAACACCAGCCACAAGTCCTACCGACCCCTGTGCATCCTGACCTTCAGGCAAGTTCGCTTGTCATCTCGGTCCAGACACCTCCTAACCCGCATCATGTCACTGCTTATTGTGGCAGGCCYTTGTAACATAAAATCGGCTTTACCACACGTACATTACAGATATCTGAAATTTGTGTTATGATTAGATATTTATTTAATATATCATTTATAATATTTTGACTAGGCTTTACCTATTTCACATCTCTCCAATTACATTCTGACCAGTGTAAATGACGTCAGATTAAGTTGTATGGAGGCTCCAATTCAAGATTTTAAAAGAAAATTTGACCCGTCAGTAATGTTTTAGATATCGATAAGTTAGTTTTGGCTAGTCATCACTTATGGCAAGTATTTTAAACTTTGTCTTACTATCTGTAATTTCATTCTAGATGTCTAAAAATTTGTTTTGATTAGGAACTAAAGATGATTTTATGTTAAAATTGCCTGCCATACTTTGATTTCAAGATACCTTGCTTTTTGTTCTGACTAGTCATAATTCTAGTTAAAGAGATCTTAAGTGACATCATTATTCAATATATCTTAAAGGCACAGTGTGTAGGATTTTGTCAATTATTTTAGCCGAATTTGAGATAATCACTAATGACAATAATAAAAAACATGTCTAATCATTGCAGACAAAGACCTTGTTTTATTATTTTTACCTTATAAAAAGCTGTTTATATCTCCATGGTCGCGGGTCGCCAGTACAGGCAGCCGCCATCTTGTCTACGAAGGCTCATGAAGGACAAACTGCGGTGGCGGCATCAAAAACGGTTTTAGTTGTAATACTATAAATGTAATATTTGTTGTCTGTCATTGTAGCTGGGATAATTTTACTTATTAAAGCTCATAATCTTACCACTTGAAACATCACTAGCCCTGAAGCTGCTGGTAGACATCGCGGTTGGAATTATCAAAGGTTTTTGACACCTGAGAGACACCGTAGCAACTCCTTTGCGTTTGGAAGTGGGGGTGGGGGTGGGGGGAGGACCAGGGAGGATGATTCAACCACTCAACCACTAGATGTCGCTGAAAACAACAAATCCTACACACTGTGCCTTTAAATGCATTTGTATACAGTATATCGCATATAAAGATTTGACTAGTGCAAATTAAGTTGCAGAAATCTTGAAAGCAAACAATGACTAGGCAAAACTTACTTAGAGATATCTAGAATTATTTTGACTTGTGAAAAATTCCTTTTAAGATATCTTCGAATGAATTCAAGATATCTCGAACATTTTTTCATCTAGACAGCTTTTCTATAAGCTATCTTGACATGTTGAATAGTCAGAATAATATTCACGATACCTTGATGAATAATTATTCTGTTTAGTCAAAACGTAACAGATTTAGGTAGAGTTTCTGTGGAAAGTTTATGAGGCATTTTAGCCTTACTAAGCCACTAGCCTTAATCAGTGCATTGCCAATGCAATGCACACTATTGTGATTCATTTCCCATCCAAGTCATCTCCATTTTGGCATGCTTCTCCTCCTGCGTACTTTGTCCTAGAGCTGCCCTTGTAATTTAAATCTGTAAAGCTCCTGTGCCAAATGATTGCTATGCGTTTTGGTGCCTGTACAACCTATAGTTTTTGGAATATTAATGTTTAAAATCAAATAATGGTAGTCAATGGAGCCTTGTATTGGTCCAATACTGCCCCATGCTGTATCTACTCAGTACTGCACCGTAGTTTAATAATATTTAAACTCAGTAGTTCAGTGTTTACAATACAAACATGATTGTATTTTAATATTTCACTATAATATTGTCCTAATATTCCTTTATTGTTGTAATATATTGCAGTTTAGTGTCAACAATTGCATTGGTAATATGGCCCCTTTCAGCACACATACAAACCTAACACTGGGAGTACCTACTGCAACAGCTCCTATAGTCTCATGGTGAACACTATGGGCTTTCATGTGGGAGATCAGGGTTCTATCCCAGCCATAAACAAAATATTTCATTAAAACTACATATTTTCTAATTGTCATATTCTCACACAATTGCCCTCATTACAAACAACTGCTGACTTGGCAGGCACAAGCTGGTACTTGATTAGCAAACACATTTCAACTTGGTCACAGTTCAAGTTGCAGGCAAAGGCAGTGCARACTTGTTTTTACATTGTAAACCCCATGTCTTGTTTAATTTGCTGTTCTGTGGTCTGCAGTGTCACGTCGGTCCAACTCAGGTTCTCATGTTTTTAACACAATTTTTAGCGCTGCAGCTTGTGCACAACATGAATATATACAGGGTTGCACATAAAATGTTTGGTCTGGTTCTCAGGGGAGAACCTAGGGTTGTTGCTTGGTGCTCATATTTTCCTTCACTCATRGAACACATTTATCTAGAGGGGTGTCAGGACATCTAACGTCCCCCTGTTCTGTTTTATGACTCCTTCAGCTGCAACGTCTCAGGACATCATGCCAAATCAGTCCACCGAGTTTTTATTTTATTCTTTTACTCTGCATAAATTTTGTAAACTATCTAAGTGGCCAAGGGGCTGGGTGTATGTCAAAGAAACATCACAAACTGAACATTTCATGGTTAAATGTCTTTTAGACTACACATGTCTACACATGTGACAAGAAAAAAAATAGACCACACATGTCCCTCAGATGGACAGCTCCTGTAGTTTGACCTTCTGCATCTTCAGCCTCGGTTAAACCAGCTGTCCACACTCTCCAGTCCAAGCAGCAAATATCTGTCTTTTGCACAGAGCAAAATAACTTAAAACATTCAAATGTTTTATTTGTTAGACTGATTTCTTTTTTAAAGGCTACTTTATTCAAAAATATATTATTTAGATGGTTTCAGGTCATGTAATTATTTAGTCTTCATATTTGATCTTTTAATAAATTACATTTA